TTTTAGAAGAATTTCCGATTGCTGTTCATTTAGTTATTTAAGAACCGTGATCGGCAGTCGGACCTGACGCAATTTCTAAGTATTTTGAGTCCACGAAAATCGAGTGCTAGATAGGAGATTTATGAATCACGTCGGATTATATCTTTCGCAGGACCACAGGATTATACACACAAACCTTGGCCAAGATTATTTTACATGACGTCACACGATCCATGGCAGTTTTTGTTGTGATCTTTTTCTCTTTCTGTGGTGCATTGACTTTATCACTCTGTTACTCGGCATCCAGGGAAAACCAGGAACTTCGGTGCGTCTCTGTTGAGTATATCTCCTTAACAACGCTATGAAGTTGTATTGGATAGAAACATTTAAGGCTCTGGTTTCTTTCAAGTCAGTGAAACTTCTATTGGTATTAATTTGATCTGCTCTTTACTGGCTAGGTTATGTATTTATTCAAACTTTTCTTGCCCTTTTTACTGAAAGAGCAATTTACTGGTCCGGGAGCTTGGATGGTAAACATAACACGTGTGTAGTGCAAAAACCTAAGTTAAACATACTAATTTTGATTTTAAATTTTACTTTTAGTGGTTTTGGAGACGTCTTGTTGAGCGGGTTTCGTGCTCTGTCTGAACAGTATCCGATGGTGGAAGATTACTCTACATTCAAGTAAGTGACACTATTTGTTGATGGCATTGAAGTACTGTTATTAGCACGTAACAGCTGCTTCCATTTGTGTAATAGCACTTCAGAGAAGCAGAAGGATCTGTAATAGAGAATCATGTCTTGGTCACATCTGGAGTTGGTATATTCGTGTTCAGAAGGTAAGCCAAACTTTGTGAATATTCTTTCCTGCAGCTGGCTGTCAGTTCTGCTGATGATGGCGTACATGGGGACAGTGACTGTAATTCTACTGAACATTCTCATTGCACAAATGAGCACGACCTACACTCAGGCCAAGAAAGTCGCCCGTCTGGAATATGACGTGGATCGGATTTTACAAATCACGCGCATGGAGAGACTTCCTTTTCAAGTTAGTATAACCATCAGGCCATGCGACGCCATTTGTCTTTAAAGGGAATAAACCAGCGTGTGTGATTGACACGAAGAGCGATCACATTAATGCTGGGATTTCATTAGAAGCCGGCTACCGGCGAATTCCTGCCGCTAATCTCCACAACGGAGCCGGCTACTTTGGCTATTCTGCCTCCCAGTTTTTGCGTGTATTTTTTTAAACAATCAATAGATTTTTTTAAACAATCAATATATTCTAAAGACAGCCCTCAATAAAGGTGTTTTTGTCGATATTTTGTCTCTTTTTTGGTTATTGAGTGATTTTTGTGACCAGTTCTAACAATTTAATCAACAACACGTTCGTTTCGCTGTGCGCCATGTTGAATGGACAGAAGAGAAAGACTGGTGACAAATCTGCCTCGAAGTCCCAATAAATGTGCTGTGGGTGCGTACCTATGTGAGTTAAAGAGAGCGGACGGGAAGAATTAGTTGATTTAGTTGACAATGAAGTTTCTCCCTGCAGAATTTACGCATGAAGTATTACAAGGAGGGAGAATGGATCAGTGAAATGAAACTCGCAAAAGGTGGGTATTGAAATACTTGGGACTGTTACTTAATTAAACCTGTCATCTTCAAGTGTTGTCAGTTTAACGTCGGCTAAGAAATGAAGATTAGAGAGGGAACAAAGTTCCTGTTGCTAACTCATGGAGAAGAAAAAATTCTGGCTGCTTATGCGCTAAGCCTTTCTCTGTTTTGCAAGCTATGTGGCAGTCGGAACAGAGCAGTTTCTTCTAATATTTTAGTTTCAATTCGTCCGTCGGGGCAGGCTTTGAAAAGCAAAACATCCTGATGCTGTAATGCCGAGAAATTTAAATATGTCTTAACATATCATCTTGGTTTGTTTGCAGAGCTTCTTGAATTCAGTGAAGATCGTAATCCCTGGGAGTCGGTGGAAGGGAAACTTCTAGAGATAAGGTAGCGATTATGCCTCCAATGCCTACTTTTTTCACAATCAGCTTCTTCATTCGCGCCATCAACTACAAAGAGCGCATTTGAAAATACACGACCAAACTGTCTACATTCGGGAAACGTGAGGGATCAAGTCTGAATTAGATTGATTGAGAGGATCACGGGGAACAATATAAATCAAAGTTGAATTATTGGATTTCCCGTTGTTCGT